TATTGAACATCATCATCATAATGCTATCGAGTTAGATCATCAAGATGGTGAGGCGAAGATGGTGGAAGACAGTAAAAAAAAAAACGTCAAAATTTGTACCTGCCTTGAAATGAAGGCCGTCACGTATCTTATTAATAATAACAATAATTTTTATACTAATAATAATAATACTAATGTTAATAACGAAAAACAAGATATTTTTTTACAATCACCTATAGCAATAAACGATTCTAATTATTATATTGATAATAACAATAACAACAATAACATAAACAACAACAATAACAATAAGCGTAGTAGTATTAGTAGCAATATTAATTATAGTGATAATATTATAGATCAACAAGATAATAATGATATATATGATCATGAAATGGAGGAACACGAGGAAGAAGATCGAGATTTAAATATACCCGGATCTTTTCCTTCGGCATTCAAATGGACACCACACTCATCCCATTTAAATAATAATAAAAAAGACAATGTTAGAAGAGTAAAAATGGAAGTATAAGTGCTCGAGTGAGTAGACGACATTGTTGTGCAAAATCATCCAAGTCTGCCAGATCTTCACTTGGATGATTTATTGGATCAATATATTGTGATGACAACATATTTGGAGGCATGATCTCGCCGTTAAGAATATTAGCATCGTCATTTCCTCCTACTTCGTGTTCAATCTCTGCAAGAATGTTGTTAAAATTTTTTGCAAAAACATCTAAACTTTGTTGAAATTCCTCCTCTTGCCTGCTTTTTTGTTTACTGTGACCTACTCTCTTTTCTTTCTTGCGGTCTTGTATTAAATCAGTGTTTTCCTTTGATGATGGTTTTATTAAGCCTTCCCCAGCAACTTCTTCGCCATCCTCCTCTAAATAGGTGTCAAGATCATTTAAAAAATTATCGAAATCAAGTTGTGATGTTTCGCTAGCATTAGAAGGTTGTCTTGGCTTTGTTTCACGACCTCTTACGGGTACCTCAACAGCTTCTTCTGCTTGTTTAATCATTGCAACTAATTGGCTAGCTAAACGTGCAAATGACGTATCGCCAGTTTTAGTTATGTCTTCTTCGTCGTCGTCGTCGTCTCCATCATCGTCTTCATAGTCGTCACCTTCATCATTATCATCAACACCATCACCGTTATTCTTTTTAATTACTTTTTTATCGTCATGTTCATCACCAACACCATCATCAACATCTTTTTCATTCTTTTTTTCATCAATAATAGGAATAGCTTCTTTGTTGATGATATATGGGTTTATACCAGGTGACTCTGGTGTAGATGGAAGATCAGACTTCATTCTACTAGAAGAGTTAGTACGTGATAATGGAACTGGTGTATTAGATGGTGAAACTGCACGTGATCCAGCTCTTGATGATGAGCGTGACGGAGCTCTTGAGGCAGCACGAGAACCTTGACGCGAGTTTTGACCTGACATCGACGAGTCGATGGATTGTGATTGTGTAAGTGTTTCTTGCTTATCTTGCACTCCTTGTTCATCTTGAATTTCTTTTTTATCGTGCATTTCTTTCAAGACAGTTTGAATGCTAAAAAGTAACAA